TATATATATATATATATATATAATTTTAACCAATTTTCAGGGGTAAAATGGAGAAGACCTTCATTTGTCATCTAATAATTATGAATTTTCTTCTATTTCATATATTTTTCAAGCCATATATTTTTTCCCCATCTGAAAGTTTTTTTTTTTTTAAATTTTCACCAAGAGTTGACCAATACTTGGTCACCCCAATGGTCCAAAATATTTTGTGAATTTTTCTTTGACTACGTCATTTTCTAAAATCTGTTTTTTTTTTTTTGGAGCAGTATTGCTTTGACTGTGTGGTCAGCTGACAAAAGATTGACTTTATTTAGAAATTTCTCCCCTGGTGGGCAGGCAGCCACTGCTGAGAGCCAACTTTTTGTTCACCAGCCATTAAAAAGCAATTTTGCACGAAAAGAGAATTTTACGCCTCTTACGTCACCTGCTGAATGAGCTCCGTGCCTCCGACAAACGCAGCTCCGCACTCGTGAGCTACTCTCGCTTGGTTTGCATCCTGCGGGTGAAAATACACGACAGCTTGTTGGACATCATGAAAACGTCATTCGAAATTCTCTTCTTGGAAATGCTGAAGAAAACGAGCTGACCTCGGTAAAAACCAAAACTTTGTTCACATCGGTCTTGAAAGGATGCGGAAGATGCAGCGTGCCCACAAACGGGTCGATCTTTTTCTGAAAGTAGGGGAAACAAAGATGTGCTCAAATCAAACATTTTCACCAGAGCAATTTTATCCCGGAACCTTCGGGAAGGCGGTTGCGTGTCTGGACTGCATATACTGCTTTTCAGTTTAGTTCTTGAGCCAAAAAGAGGATGCTGGTAGTACTTTGGAGAGGGCCGGCAATATTTGAGGTGCGACATAGTTGACCGGCATGTTTAGTTCCAGAAACAAACACTGCCAACTTCCTCGAACTAAAGGAGGCAATGCTGCTTCGGAGGATCTCTGCTCGTGGATAAACTTAGTTCCAAGGTGATCTGGGAATATTGCTTTGGAGAAATCCTGGAACCTTTTGGGAGGGACGCATCTAATTAGAACCTTTGTGTTCCAAGACCTTAAAAAAAAAAAAAAAAAAAAA